ATGAAAACAAATATATGTAAGTTCCTATATGACTGAAGCATTGTGTTATACGCCAGAAATTGACACAACATTGTAAACTGACTATACTTCAATGAAAATATATTTTTAAAAAAACAGTACAGGGGAGCTACACTTCAGTGCCCCGAAGTTCCCTCTCAAGTCCTAGTGTGGTTTCGCAGGCCACAGTGGCCTGACTTTCCAGGAAGCAGTAACTTCTCCTTGCATACAATCACTGCTTCTCTCTGCCACGTGCCCAGCCCAACTGGCTCATGGAGTGAGGAACCATCTGTCCCCTGCCCACAGCTCTTCCTCCTCCTCCTACCTATGGGAGCTCCCGGCACCCACTCATCCTTTCTCCCCACTTCAGATCTCCTGTTCCTGTTGGTGGCATCAAATCTCTCTTCTTTTACTCATGGCTGAAGCAAGATTCAGGGTCATCCGAGAAAAGCTAACATTTTGCCACTCCTCCAAGCTCATAGTCTGCATTAATTTAAAAAAAAAGTTTTTGATTAAAAATTTTCTACCGTTACAGAAGAAGGGAAGATGGTATAATGAAGTTCCATGTACCATCACCCAGCTTCAACAATTACTAGCAAAAAGGCCAGTCTTCACTTCATCCATATTCCCAACCATCCCACCCTCCCAGTGGGTTATTTTAAAGCAATTCACAGACACTGTATCATTTCATTTGTAAATATTTCAGCAAGCCCATAGTCTTTAAATATTTGTTCCGTGTTATTGAGAGAGATTGAGTGTTGTGTGCAGAGTGGATGGAGAAAGACCTTTAACCCCCTTTCTATTGTTTCCCAGCAATTCAGCTCTGGCCTAAATTTGCATGCCTTCCTCAAGAAGTTATGTGTTGTGTCCTGCTCAGCATCTGAACTCCCTTTCTAAGTTTGGGCTGTCCATCGTATGTGATTCTTGATGAAAGCAGAGTTTTAGTTCTTCTATGGAAGCTGAAAAAGTTAAACTTTGCTTCCTCTGATCCCAGGGCACAAGCTATAACCCAAGCTCAGCTATTTGGACGTTCTCGCCGGGGATCTGAGTGTGGAATAGATAAACCATGGCACCTAGACGGCCTAAAGGAATGGCAGGGTGGGTGGTGCTTGGAGAGTGAGGTGCTTTGGTGTAAGATGGAGACGGAGGGGTAAACCAGATGAGGCTCTGAAAGTCACAGCAGCCACAGTAAGGACTTCGGGTTTATTGTAACTTGGCATTGACACCTGGCACGATAAAATGTGTGTATCAAGATTACCCACTGCTGTGTAGAAGATGGATTAGAAGGAAGAAGAGATGAAGCAGCCATCTCAGCCTGCTGTAACCTTCCAAGAGGAGAAATAATATTAAGTGGGGTCAGGGTGGTAGCAGGGATGTGATGAAAAGGGAAAGAATTCGAGAGAGATTTTGGAGGTAACAATTGACGGGACCTGGTTGCCCTAATCGCTAATTCCTCTAATAGCGCCTCACACCACAGTCACAAAGAGTTGTTGATTCTATGATGTCCCTGTTTTGAATAAAGTGTGTGTGTGGGGGTTATAGCTCAGTGGTAGTTTCAATATGTGTTAGAAACACGTATTAAAATATTTATAAGTGAAAAAAATACCATGTCTGGGACTTTTTTTGCAACTGAATTGTGCTAGCACACCTGGTGACTGTGACGCACTAATTTCTTGACTTCCCTTTCTCAACCCTCTCTTGTTCTGTATGAAATTAGTTTTTTGGTTTTACATGTTAACTGTCTGTTTCCCACAAGTGCAGTAATCCTGTCTCTTGTACATTGCCACAGCCCACAGGCTTAGCAGAGAACCTGGCAATATATTAAGAGCTAAATATTTATTGAATGAGTGAACATCATTATACATCTTATCGCATCTACTTCTCTAGTTCTGAGTTCCACATCCACGTTTTTGCCTGTCAACTGGACATATGTCCACACCCGAACCGGATATCTCTTCCAGGTTTCTTTGCTAAGAAGGAGGAGGAGGAGCAGCAGATAACTCTTCTATAGCACTTTGTATGGCCCAACACAAATGTTGATTTGTTCAATAATCACAGTTACCCTCTGTGACCCCATTTTACAGAGCAGGAAGCTGAGGCCCCAAGGGGTCATGTGACTTGCCCAAGGTCACACACCTGGTCAGTGACTGCCCCACTGTTAGAACGCAGCGAGGTCTGAAAGCTAAACCACCAGGATCAACTGCCTCTCCCTACTTTTCTTAAGTTTGTAAACATTCTCTAGGCTCATCCTTTGGAGGTCATCTTGGACTCCTGTCTCCTCTTTCCCTCCCTAAAGTCATTTCCATCCCCCCGACTCTCCCATCCCTTTCCTGACCTGGCCTGGAGATTCAGGCTGCAGGCTGGTGCTGTGGCTTCTCCATCCTTGTCCCTTCCCAGCAGACTCTCAGTCCTTCTTTGCTACCTTGAGGACAAAATCGCATCCCAATCTGGGCATTCATTATTTAGTCCTTAGTTCACCACGGGCACCCACCCGGTTCAGCTCCACCTCTCCCAGCTATGGGACCTTAGACAAGTTACCTAATCTCCTGTAGTGGGTTGAATGATGGCACCCCTCCTGAGCCCCCTGCCAAAAAAAAGTATGTTCATGTCCTAATCCCCAGAACCTGTGAATATGACCATATTTGAAGAAGGTGTCAGTGCAGACATGAGATAGGATCTTGAGAGGAGATCATTCTGGATTGTGCAGGTGGGCCCTAAATCTAATGACAATCGAATGTCCTTACAAGATACACAGAGAAGACAGAGATCCAGAGGACAAGGTCATGTGAGAAAAAAAGCAGAGATCAGAGTCACACTGCCATGAGCCACGGAAGCCAGTAGCTGGAAGAGGCAGGAAGGATCCTCCCCTAAAACAATCAGAGGGACACGGCTCTGCCAACACCTTGATTTCCGATTTCTGGTCTTCAGAACTGTTAGAGAATAAGTTTCTATTGTTTTAAGTCACCGAGTTTGTGGCAATTTGTTACAGTAGCTACAGGAAGCTGGTGCCCCTCCCTCTTCCTCGCTGTCCTTAATTCAGGATGAAGATTATCCTATGGTCTACTTTATTGCTGTGCACGGATCTAACCCCGGTCTCAGCACTTACTGGCCTGGCCTTGGGCAAGTTGTTTGACTTCTTTGTACCTCAATTTCCTCTTGTGTAAATAGAGTTAATAATGCTTCTTAGGATGTTGTAAGGCAGCAGTTCTTGAACTTTTTGCTCTCAGGGACCTTTTTCTGAGGGCACACTTAAAAACCATGGAAGACCCTAAAGAGATTTTGTTAGATACATAATATCTATTGATATCTACTGTAACTAGAAATTTAAACTGATGGTTCTTGAAACTACCGACTAACTTTAAAAACAGACACATGACATGTTAACATGAATATTTTTAAATAAAAAATAGCTATGCTCCAAAACAAACAAACACAAAAGTACTAAGGACAGTGGCATTGTTTCATATTTTGGCAAATCTCTTTAATGTGTAGCTCATTATCAGGGAGAGCTGGAGCCTCAAATCTGCATCTGCATATTCAGTCTATCATGATGAGCTATTGTGTGTTATGTATGTGAAGAACATCTAGCCTCTCATTGATACATGGCCAGCAAAAGGGACCTTATAGAGACTGACTGCATATTGGGGAATCCCAGGGGACCTCAGGCCACACTTTGGGAAGTGTGAAGTAAATGAGGAAATATTTGTAAAGCACCTAGAATAATGCATGGCACATGATAAACGCTATATATGCTTAAAGCAAATACAAAGCAAAAGAAAAGAACAAATGTCCAATAAGATTTTAAACTTTAAAAAGTTTTCGTTTTAATCAATACGTGCTTGGTTGGGGTAGGCTTTATAGCTACAAGGGCGTTCGGGTTTGTTTGTTTGTTTTTCAGCCTTCAAGGCCCTCACAGTGATGGGGGAGGCCTTTCAGTGTAACCACGGCGGAAACTCACTATGCTAAGAGCAGTTTTATGGGAGTAGGTGGCCGGCTGTGGGGATGCAGAGGAGGGTCCCTACTTACCCACGCGTGGGGGCGGGAAGGGTGGGGCTGTAGGTTCAGGAAAGGCTCTCCTGGGCGGGGAGGGGTGGTCTGATGGACTAGATGATTTAGCCAGGTCAAAGGACAGAGGTTTGAGACAAGAAAACTGAGATCCAAATCCCGGCCTCACCTCCTCTGTGAAGTGGTGTTTATGTCACAAGGAGCCGCTAATGGACGTGGCTCTGCGGGCGGGGCAGCCTGGCGGCTTAGGAAGCAGAGAACCCCTCGACCCTTCTGCCCCTCTCCGGGGCGCCTCTCCTGGAGCGCAGGGCCCGGCGCCGCCAGGTCCCCCTGGTGACCGGATCGGCCGGGAGGGTCTGAGAGCCGGGGGGTCTTTGACTCCTCCCCAGGATGGGCCCCATTTCGGAGTCCACCTCCTGAGCCCTCCACTCCTCCCCAACGCAGGGCCGCCCCCCACCCCGACGCTGTGAATCGTCCAGAGAGACCAGCGACCGCCACCACCATCGCCCCCTCTCCTCGGGGCTAGTCTCGGCCCCTCCGGGGCGGGAGCGGGAGAGGAGGAGCCAGGACCGGGCGGGAGGAGGGGGCTGCGCGTCCGGACGCGCTGGGGGCGCCGGCTGGAGCGGGGAAGGAGGGTCTGGCGAGTGAAGCAGGGGGCGGGGGCCTGCGGAG